GCAATAGCATTCAAATCTCTTTTGGTAGTGTGGTGGAAATATTTTACTAAAACATACTGTGTACTTTATTTCAATCATATATTGAAGAAAAAGGATGCAAAAACTTAGATTTACATTAAATAACTTATGGCCGAGTTGACTTGTGGCCGAGTTGATTTGTGGCCGAGTTGACTTGTGGCCGAGTTGGCTGTAGCCGAACTTTTTGTTGCCGAGTTGATTTGTGGCCGAATTGACTTGTGGCCGAGTTGACTTGTGGCCGAGTTGACTTGTGGCCGAGTTGACTGTGGCCGAGTTGACTTTTGGCCGAGTTGACCTGCACCCTGCGGAAGTACTGCGTATTCTGGAAAGTTCCAGAAGTCTGGTGGCGTTGTTCGAATTATCAAGCATCTACTTAGCGATGATGACGTTGTTGGTCGGTTGTGGTACTGTTTATTTTTTCTAAAAATAATTCTTCCCTTTGATTAGTATTTAAGGCTTGGTTGGTAGCAGCTAGCAAACAGACAAGAAAAGGATAGAATAGGCATTTGTATTTATCAGGTTTGTGAAAACGAATTTTCAAGCAGACCTACTATTGAGTAGGCTTATAATTACGTTTCTGAGGACGCGAAGAAAGTTGTTGAATTCTGTTGTAGGCCAGCGACACTACACATTCGAATAGCGGACACAGTGGTCATCACCAATCGTTCGTACTTGCACGTATTGAATTGAACACAACAGAGACATAGGAGAAAGCCTAAACGCAAAGTGAAGGCTAGTGTAGCGGATAGTTGTACTAAAATTAAACAAACGGAAAGTAGACCCAGTTAACTAACAATGGGAAAAGACTATTACAAGATTCTGGGAATTACGAAAGGCGCGTCAGATGAACAAATTAAGAAAGCGTATAGAAAACAGGCGCTGAAATATCACCCGGACAAGAATAAGTCGAAAGGTGCGGAAGAGAGATTCAAGGAAATATCAGAAGCCTATGAAGTATTAAGTGACAAGAAAAGGAGAGATATTTATGATAAGTATGGTGAGGAAGGACTTAAGCGAGGGCCACAACAGAATGGATATCCAAATGGTGGTGAAACCTTCACGTGGTCATATCACGGTGATCCAAATGCCACATTTGAAAGTTTTTTTGGGCCGGGGCAATCCCCATTTGATATGTTTTTTGGACAGCAGAATGGGCCTGGCTCAAGAATGAGTTTTAATATGGGTGAGCCCATGGATATTGGAGGAGATGGATTTGGTGGGATGAATTTTGGTCAGTTTGGTGGTCAACCAGGACACACAACTACCTCTCGAGGGGGAAGTATACACAAGAAGAAGCAAGACCCTGCCATTCATCATGATCTTAAGGTTTCCTTAGAGGATATTTACAGAGGGTGCACAAAAAAGATGAAAATTTCACGTAAAGTTCTAAATCCAGACAGGAAAACGACACGAATAGAAGATAAAGTACTAGAAATTCAAGTTAAACCTGGCTGGAAAGAAGGCACAAGGATCACTTTCCCCAAAGAGGGCGACCAAACACCAAATAACGTACCAGCGGACATTGTCTTTACCTTAAAAGATAAGCCGCATCCAGTGTTCACACGGGAAGGAAGTAACCTAATATTCAAAGCCAAAGTTTCTCTTCGAGATGTAAGTACAGGATTTTAACAAGGACCCTGTTGAGATTGTTGGTTAAGATGCTTTTCCTCCATTACCAGGGTCCTTGGTTCGAATCCTCTAAATTAATTCTATCACCAAAAACTTGTAGTTATGATTATTATTACACTTCAAGTTAACTTGTATTAAATAATTTTTTTTTTACCAAAATACAAGAATTGTAATGCCAGTATCATTTGATCAAAAAGGGAAAAATTTCTTTCCCTTTTCTTTCTTTTTTTCCCTTTCCTTTCTTCCTCCCCCCCCCCCTTTTTTTTTTAAATTATTACCTTTATTGAAGATTTATGCCATATTTATATTGAGCATGTTTTTGGCCAAAGAAATTACTAGGTATAAGAAAATGTACATTTTTTCTCTGGTAAAATGTAAATTGGTTTACATATAATAGTATAAATACAAGTGCAAAAAGCAGTACAGTTGATGCCATGGGATTAGGCAACATAAAATAATAATTAGTTTATCACCCTATCAAAGAATAAAAAAGGTTTTTTTTTTTTTTTTTTTTTTTACTAATTTTTTTTTTTTTTTTTTTTTTTTACCCATGTTCACAAGTAAATTAATGGTTAGGGACACATACAGTATATAAGTAATAAGTCATTAGAGTGTAATCAAATTTATATTTAAAAAAGATGTTTTTGTTGTACCAGTAAACATATTTGCAAGAAATCCTGAGCTTGAAAAAAGATGGAAAAAGAACTGTTTGAAATAAAAATATATGTTGATTGGAAAAAAAAAAAAAAAAAAAATCAGATTTTCCCCAAAAGTGATGAGGGAGCGGGTGATAAACTAATATTTTTTTTACGGGGCCTTAACCAGCCTCCAGTGTAAAAATGAATTTATGTTCTCTAGTGTCCCTTTAATGCAAAATTAATTTCATAATAAAGAATTTAAAAAAAACAACTTAGATATGATCATTGAAGTAGGCTACTGGCAGTATTTCTGAAGGCCCTAATATTTATACAATATATTTTATTAACCTGATTGCATAGTAGGTATGCATGCCTTGTGATTTGTTGTTTTTTAAGGGGTCCCTCTCTGTGGTGTAGCATTGATAAGATCCCATTTACAATTTCGTCCTTACTGTGTATCCTTAAAATAGAAGAGCTGTTTTATTCATTCTTGTTTATAAAGATAGAGAGGCCTTTTTAATGCTACTGAAAAAGTTTATGAAGCATGATTGTGATCATATCTTTTAATATGTGCAGGTACCTCAACAACACTGCAATATACTGTTTACAGTAATAGTTAATACAGTACTTGCTGAACATGATGAATGCCAAACCTGTTTTCTTAGTTTCATCTCATACTGTACTGTCAGTACACCAAAGCATAAAGGGCACCACCATAATGAAAGTCATTCCCATCAACTGTAATAAAACACAAAGAAACATTCGGTGTTTATTTTTAGATCGATATTTCTGGGCCCTCCAGGGCAAAAGTTCGCATTCTGGTGACCACAGCCCGTCACTGGCAGCGAAACACGTTAAAGTGGTTCCAGGGTTGAAATTTCTTCTAGTAAAAACATCGTTTATTTCCCACATTTGAAAAATCAGATGAAAAATTTGCACGTAAATTATAAACAGAGAAATACACACTACTTTATGTTACTATTTGACATTCAGTATATGTAATTAACTTACTTTGGTACAGTAGTCACTCAGTAAAACTCATTAATATTCATATATGCATTACCTGCATAGATTTATAGCTAAGAATCTACAGTATGTAAAGTAGGCTGTGGTTAAACACCAACATAAAGATTGGTTGATTTCACATGAGCTAATACTATGTCTAATACTACTACTTTGTTGATCATGAGCCCAATATTAGTAATAATATAATATTTATTGATAATATTTTGGCATTTATCTAGTGTAGCCCTCTTTACCAGTCTCACACTCGGCAATTTAACAAATCTGTCTATTTCAGTAATATCTTTATGCTTCAACACTGTATTAATTTGAGTATGGCACCACTTATGATTTAGGACCCACTTGCAACAATTACTTCATTCGGAGAAGCTGTGAACATTTTGCCATGCTTTAATAAAGACCTTTTCAATTCCAATTCCCCTTTAAAAGAAGTCATCAACATATGCTACAATACAGTATGTAAAGTACTTGTCGAGCTGTTTGATATCAAACTTAACCTTTGACATTAAACTCTCACAAATTCCAACCCAGTGCCGGATGTACAGTGCAGTGAGAAGGGAAATGTATAGGATTGTACTGTAGTATAGCTTTTCTATTAATACTTTTTATGTAAATTTATTGAAGAATGAAAATTCACATTGCAAATGCAAGCCGTATTTGATTACAGTACATGATGACAATATTAAATTTCATTTTAAAAACTTTTTTTTTGTGCATATTTTGAGTTTTCAGCATAATAGGTACTTAGATTAGAATTAGAGGAAATTGACATAAAAATAAGTTATACATTTTTTTTGTTTGTAATTAATGTAAACTTGCCAAAGTGTTGCCTATTGTGATTGGTATGTCAGCCGAGTGCTTCATCAAATAGTTTCCGGTTCTAATTTAATTTTTTTTCTATCATCACGCAATGCTATGCTAATGGTTTTGAAATGGTTTTGAAATGACAATGTATGAACATGATCAACAACTAAAAACAATGACATGCTTCGTAAGCCCAAGTATCACTTGCCAATTAAGTGAGCAGGAAATTCAGAATTTGTCATTTGTTGAAATCTCCTTATTAGTAAGGCAAGATTTTTTTTATACCTTGTTTAGTGAACTCTCCAACCGCCAGTAATGATGAATTCCAGTTTTTAAACATTTTATTTTTTGCCCTTTTTCCGCCATAAAAATAGCTGGAAATTTCAGAAAAAATAAAACATTTTTATTTATATTTTTTTACGCACTTCTCGCCCTGAAATATTTCTTTCTTAATAATATAAATTTAAAATATATATTTATCTCATTACTACTACTCTTTACATTTATCAATGCTTTTGGCTATTAAATAAGAAAACAAAATTTTACTTATATTTTTTTTCCACCCTCTGACAATCTTTAAAAAAATAAGTTTGCTTAAACAAAGTATTAAAAAGTTTTGCCTAGCCTGAAATTGGGTTCAGTTCGTAAAATAGAGAACATTGAAACTCTGAATTAGAATGACTGTATTATTTAAAGTAAATATTTTTAATTATGTATTAAAAAATCTGATGAAATATTAGAGCAGTAGGCTAATCATGTTTGTTTTCGTATTTTTCAGGCATTGGTTGGCACTTCATTGCAAGTACCAACAATAGAGGGCAGAACCGTGCAAATTCCTATCACCGATGTTATCAAACCAACGACAAAGAAACGCATTAGTGGCGAAGGCTTGCCGTTCCCTAAGCAACTAGGACGACGTGGTGATCTTCTCATTACCTTTGACATCGGCTTCCCCGAGCACATTTCTAAGTCAACAAAGGAAATCTTAGGAGATTGTCTGCCGCGTTATTGAATCTGTGGGTTTTTATTATGGAGACTGTTGATACAGTGACTGTCTACTCTTTGTTGACAGCATCTTTGTAGACAGACATACAGACAGCTCCTATGGAATTTACAGTACAAAATCTTTCTTGGCCGGCTACAGCTCCTCTCCTTTGCGGATACTAATTAGTGGCTCAACTTACAGGATGATTTCCTGCATTAAAACTACAGTAGCATTGAAAGTACTGCAGACAACTTTCTGCTCAGAATTCTTGTACAGAAACTTCAGTTGTAGGATTTGAAGTATAAACGATGCACAAAACACGTTCTTAAAACATATTTACTGAACACTGAACAGTGTTTTACAGACATTCAGTACATAGGTATAGAAAGTGTTAGCACCTTGATATGTATCAAATTATTACAGTAGGAATAAATGAGAAAATTTTAATAATAAATAAATAATAAATTTAAATTCCTAGTTTTTATTATCGTAATTATATTTAATTGGAAACAGAAAATAACTAATCATGCATTTAATTTGAAGGGTGCCCACAAATCGTTGCATGATATTTGTGCAGCTATGCAGAGTGAAAATCCTCTTCTTAATTTTGTTACTTATATGGTAGGATACAAATGTTATAGAAAGAATTTATTTATGTATAGTTTAAATTTTGAAATTATGAAAGAAAATATTGAATTAATTCTACTTTCTCTTGGGTGATTGAGATAGTAAACTTGAATACAATGAAGTAATTTATTTTTTTTTATTGAAGAAGTAAGCTTTCCATTGGTAATAAATCCTATTCTTTAATAGACCAATAATATGCTGGTATTGAATGAAGGAATTTCATAGTTCAACTGTGAATTGTTTCAAGTACAGTACGATGACTCACAGGAATTTGCCAACATATGGCAAATTCAGTGTTTCTGTTGGGTGCTTGTTCATGTTTTTTTTTTTTAAATTTAACCACTGACAGAATCTTGAATAGTGGTATAATGGTGCTTTAAATTAATGCAATTAATTCTAACAATATGTTTCATGGCTTAGCAATTACTTTCTACTACTACAGTATATGTTTCATACAGTATATGTCTATAAAGATCTGTCCACATTATCAGATTTTCTGATCTTTGCCTGTGTCACGTCAGATCCATGTACAGGTATTTGTATGAAAATTGATAGTGTAAAACAGATCTTTATTTCGGGATTCTGGGGAGATTTCTTTGTGGGTAAAATTTTTTTTTAAACTTTTAATGTACAGTGGTTGGTTTAAATCTTGATAATTCAACCTATAGAAAACAATTCTACTGATCCAGATATCTACAATTTAATCTTCAAGCTTAGAAAGTTGCTCCAATTTATTGATTACACATCAAGTATTATTATAAGTATAATTTAAGGAGTTTTATATAATATGGTTTTACAGAAATTCATTTGTTAACATATTATTGTGTCATACTAACAGTATACTGAACCCAGTGAACGTATTGTTTACTGATGCTACAGTACACCATGTATAGAATACCACGAGAGGTACAGTAAGTTTCAATCAGTTTACGGTACTGTAATATATAGCACGCTGTTTTCTTCATACTTATGCGCAAGCCTAAATCTCTGTTCACAATATCAAATTTTATATGACAAATTTGTGTGATGTGCCCATATATGGGCATGATGATGTAAAGTTACACCCAAATATGGGCATATCACATTAATTTGTCAACATTAATGGATAGTGTAGGGTTAAAAATCTCTAGTAAATAATAGTTCAGTGGGCTAGTTACAAAAAAAAAGTGAGCAAGGCCTGCTATATATAATCCTAGTTATTATATGTGCATTAATTAAATTCCATGTAATTTATTAAACATGTGATCATATTGTGCTATTTAGACTCAAAAGTTAATGCCTTAATATTGGTTGTGTAAAATATGTTTATAAATGAGAATAGTGCGTGTTAACATTTCAAATGGTATATGCAGTAAGCCAGTGGTTACTTGTGAATAATGTACATACAAAGAATATAGAAGAGTATGGTTTTAACTTTATGAGGGAAAGAAGATAGAGAATTTATTATGGTCATAGTGTGTACAAAAATGTAAGCCTATTGACAATGTATCGTTGACATGCTTGTTTAGTTGGCGAGGAAGATACTTTGATGAATATATATGAGGCTGAATAACAGTGTACTACCAACATTTTGTTTTATTTGTGACAAAATAAATAATGTTTGAGTTTGTAGTAAGAGTTATGCTTTCTTTTCGCTAATTGAACAGTCGATATAGTATTAATCACAGTATGACTACAACCACAATTACAAACATCAACAGCATAATTTTCAGCAGTTCCTCTTGTATTCTTCAGTGAATGTTAGAAAATACCTGAAATGAAAGCATAGAACTTTTTTGTATAGCCAAACTCACCAAAAGTAGCGTCTATAATATTAGTATAATAGAAGCCTTCTAATATACTGAGACTGTTAATTTAACAGTCTTCTAATATACTACCGTTTTCTTGTCATCACTAATTTAATATTGGTTAATTAGTGAAAAGGCCTGTCACCAATGAAAGTCTTGGCCACTAAGTGGTCATACATTATGATAGTAGCAGGATATACTTGCGAAATATGAGAAATAAATGCAATAATATACTGAAAAGCAAATTATAATCTTTAAAATGTTAATGTATTATTTAACAGTGACAGGAAAAATGATACAGCACTGCACTCAAACATGTTCGTAAGCATACAATACAGTGAGCCGGTAATAATGAACCATTCTGGAGTGGCAGTCAAAGAAATCACAGCCACAAACACATGTTTTCACCACAGTTTTATGGGCTCCACAACATTGTACAACTGTTGGGGGTGGTTTGTTGTTATAATGTATTATAAATTGTATTAAGCAAAATAATTGTATTGTACTGTATTGTTGATATATTATTTTTATCATTAAAAATATATAGTCCAGTCCGAAATGTAGCAATATCAGAGGTTGCATTTTTTTTTGCTATATTTTTTTAAAATTGGATATGATGTAGAGTAGACATTGATAAATCAAAAAAGTATGTGCAACAGTTATGTCTCTAACAAGAATTGCTGAAATTATATATATATATATATATATATATATATATATATATGATATAAATTTGCTTTCATTTCTACATGTTTCTTTTCAGATATGCCCCTCCCTGCCCCTTCCTATTCTGTTGTAAACCTCTACCTTCGCTTCTGATTTAACTGAAATGGAGCGTTTATGATGAATTAGTGTAAAAGGCGGAGGAGTTCAGTTTGGCTTTGAAACATGGTAGATCAGAAGATGTTTTATGCTCTACCGGAAGCTTATGCCTTACTTCATTACTTCAGCAAGATTTGCCTGAATTGATACGAGTCATTTCGATCGCCTTTCTCTGTTTCTTTAGCAGTTCACGTATGCGCGGAATGTGATGTCAAGTTACTCATCCTGTTTAATTAAATTAAAACTAAAAATACATATCATCACAGCGATGAACAAAGAGTATTATATATTATGTAACAAATTGTACCGCCCGTGTATCACACCATGGTTAAAACCATGTGTATGATGATGCGCGTGCGATCGGATTTAATCGTGATCTTCATTGACCCAAATTGGAATGTGTGACGTCATGCGGCTAAAGCACATAAATTATGAATTATGAAATGACAAAACATGCACTTTGTTGAGTATTAATGCATAACGAATGAATATCGCACAACGCCTGGTAACTCAACATTTTTTTTAAATTTGAAGATGAACATAAGCCTACTTTTAAATGTTCCAAATAACAAAAATTTCCCAACCAAAAACATTAACATCGATTGCCAACAGAGGTGAATATAATGAATACGCGATGTTATGCACATTAAATCAATGATACTCTCGAGCCTCCCATTTCAGGCCTCATCATTATAATAATTTAAAGTGTTCCAGTGTGTGTGATCGTCGAATGTTCCAGCGGCGACGATGGAGATACTACCCATGCTACATTAGATCCCGAATGTATCGGAAAAAGAAGCATGATCCATGTGGCCCCCACCTCTCCCCACCAGTGATGCGCCAGTGGGGGGGGGGGGAAATTCTCCACCTCCCACCCCCCCCCCCCCCCCCCCCCCCGCCTTCGGACAGGCCTAAACCCCCTGTCGTCCGACGCATGACTAGATCGCCGGATCAAAATAATAATAAAAAAAATTTGCCTATCCAAATAAGGTTATGTTATTTCCAATCCCTAATATTGTGGTTCAAAGCACATTTTGAAACAAACTAAGCAATAAAAAATCTCCCCGTGAACCCTACCAGGGATTTTTTCTGTTCCGGCCTTCGTCAGCCGCGGCTCCATGGTTCGGACCCCTCCGTCGGACATGTCGGTGCCACCGCAGTCCCGACCCCTCCTCAAACTAGGCCATCCATCCGTTTTTTTTTAACCGGGTCCTGATTGATATAAAGGTTTCTTTGCAACATAAGCTGTATTATATTCAGTTTACCACACCACACAGATAGTCCTCACCGTCGATCCCGGTGCACTTCTCTACTCACCCCCTCCCTCACTTAAGCCACCGTAATTCTTGTATGTAATTGCCATTTTCACGTCGACCAACAATCTATGACATACCGTTCTATTCTGTTTTTAAAATTGATGCTACATTTATTAAAAAAAAATATATCTGAGGTTGTTACTGCAGTGGTGGCGCCAGGATTTGCCCGACGGGAGGGGGTCTATATTTCTGATGACTCGAGAAAAGTGGGCGCAGCCGGGCGTCGCTCAAAATATCTCAAAAGTGTTCCAGGGAGAAAACCCAATATTTAAATCGATTTTAGAATCCACTAATACTTAGAAAATACACATTCATTTGTTTCCTTTCCGACAAACTGTGGTCTTTCTCCTCAACGGGTGAGAGGAAGCTCTCCCCAACGGGGCCCTGCCCCTGACCCCCCACTGGCGCCACCGCTGTTGTCATCCCCGGGCTAAACTTTGAAGGAAAAAAAGATGATCATGAACTTAGTGTCATGTATCATTACTAAACCAAGTCAAATATTATCGATTTAGGCCTACATGAAATGTATTCACATAGCTCAACATGATAGCAAATTATTAGAATTCTTGAACCTAAAGAAAAACCAGTTATTTTTGGGCTACCGTTCGTTATAACTAGGTCACGGCAGCCGATGAGTCAAAGTCGGTAAGGATAACTTTTACTTTTAACAACGCGAAAGAGCTGGGGCCGTAACAGACAGGCACAATGAGTGACCTTAGATCATGCCTCCTATGCAATTCAATATAGCTTATACCCCTCACTGCTGAAGGCCATCGGAAGTATATCGTAATAGATTATGATCGACCCATTTAGGGCAGTCCGTTGACCAAGGTGTTGACGTGTCGGCGGTACGTCTGAACCTATACCACTCACCCAATGGAAATATATACTGTAACTTAAATTATACCACAACAATTTTGCATAATATATACAGAATATATAGAATATATAGAGAATATGCAGAAAATATTATTATAGAAAAAATAACAGAGGGCAGCATATAGGCTAGCCGGAGAACCATGCCTAGTTCATTGAGTAAGCCAACGTGGGTAGGCAGGAAAAAAAAGAAAATAAAGTAAAAAGGATTTTTACTTCAATATTTCGCATTTCTCGTAACACTACTCTGCATTATAAAATTTCAACAACAACTGAAAGGATATTAGAAAACAGTTACTGTAAAACTGGGACAAACTTTGGCCTTAAACTTCAATGGGAAGCTAACTAGTATCGGTGTCTATAACCAAAACTGTGTATTCTTTTATTATGGTTGTTTTGTATGTTGAAACTTTAATTATATACAAAAAAAATCAGAGGTTAAACTTCAATAGGAAGCTAACTAGTATCGGTGACTATTACCAAAACGGTGTTTTTTTTATATTATGGTTTTGTATGTTGTATGTGTATATGTATGTTTTGTATGTTTTAATTATACTCAAACTATAGGTATATAGGTGTAAGCAAGGCTTTACGTACTTTTCATCAAAACAGTAATTACCACTAATTGGAATGTATGCATGTAAAGCTCTAAAGAAGCTTAACAAAATTTCGTTGGATGAAACACATCCCCATATTCACAATATATAAATTCAACCAATCATTTACCCGTGCGGTGTGCCAAGCAGACACGATGTTGCTTTAAGATACGAATTTTTAAAGCCTGTTGAAATCATATAGTACGGTATATGTTTAATTATATAATCATATCATTCTATTCATACACCCACCGATATGTAGAAGATCTATATCTTATATCAGGTTACCTTAGTATTGTTTAGGAATTATGTTTTAGAGTTTATGTATGATGGACCTATAATATCATGAAGTAATAGACCTATAATGAGTCCATGAAGCCGATATATTCATGTTATTTTTATATATCTTTCTATATATTTGATATATTATGTAGTCAAAAGGTTATTCTTTATGGTATTTTAAAAGACAAGACAGGATCACCGAAAAGACAGTTTTTATTTAAATTTCAGTATATTCAAGAAACCTCAGTAATCGATTCTGTAAAAGAAGAGAACAGACACTACTGTAATATAAGATACAATTTCAGTTAAAATATTATTAATTACAAGTAGTCAATTTAAAGTTGTTTTAAACAAAAGCAGAACAAAACCTCACCCTTGACAAACAGCAGTTAAAGGTGATATGAGTTAGAACCTTAATAAGTTGAAGAGAACAGTATATAATTATGGGGGTCAATTTTATATTTTTATTCATCGCTGTCATTCCCAAATCACCCCGGTCCTATCTCTGTGATGCTTTCGATAGCAAATTATAATACCGTATTTAATCGGGGCGTTTATCCTTGAGAAGGGTTTTTGAGGGGGCGTTTATCAGAGGAAGGCGTTTATTCGAGGGAGGTGTTTTTTTTTGTGTAAAATGGATACACTCAAATAGACGCCTCATAATTTCACTGTAAACTACAACACATAATTATCGTCAAAATGCGTGATCATTAAGACATTAATCACTGCCAGATTAAAAAAAATGTAATTTTACTGGAGTAGATAATTAATAGAATGTGTTGAGAATGATGTTACTTCCATCAGTTTCGTTTACAGTCATTTAGCTGGGGGTGGGGAGGGGCATTTATTCGAGAAAAAAATCGCCTCTGGGAGTTCATTCAAAGCGAGGCCTTTATTCGAATAAATACGGTATTTGGATTAAAAAAATAAGAATATAGCAGTGATAATAATAAATGGTAATAAACAATAATAATAATTGTGGATTACTAGATGGATTTTCTTGAGTGGCTTTGCATGCTTGTGCTAACTAACGATGTTTTGTGCAAACGACAAGTGATCCAGTACCCTACTATACATCTTTTTGAGTCAGTGATTGAGTCAGGGTTCGAATTAAATCCGGATGCGGATCCCATCCTGTTGTTGGAGTTGTTGACACTGCAAACTCCTGGTCATACTGCTATTGCTAAGTATACTACCGACTACTTATGAATGTCAGTGCTACGTTTGCCGTGCCTCAAACCATGACCAGGTTTCGAAACTCTTGCTGAAAAAAATGGTTTAGTTTTTTCAAATGTTATTTTCTTGCAAAAAAAGGAGTGACACTTGGACAGCTTAGAAAACTTTCCGTTGTGGAGGCGGTTTTCTAGGGGTTGTAGAGCCCACAAATGTAAAAATAACCACAAATGTAAAAAAAATGTACCCACAAATATCAGAGTAACCGCAAATGTAAACAAAAAATATACCCATTAGTGTAAAAATCGTTTTAACCACAAATGTAAAAACATAGCGCCTAAAAATGTAAAATTTCCATTTTTACCTCAAATGTCGTAACATGTCAACCGCAAATGTAAAAAATTAATTGTAAGATAGGTTATTATCAGATGTATGGGTATGTGTATGCGTTTTCCTAAGCACTAAAATCCTTAAAATATTGAAAGAGCCTAATTAACTGCTTAGGATATAGGCGGCGCGCCTAAATAATAGAGCAGCTAAGGGACCGTTTGTGCAGTTTATTTCCAAAGCATGAAACTAAGCACAACGTTTGATATGTGTAGTGTAAAATAAAAGTTGTGTGCCAAGTTTCTGACACATACTATGGCCACAATTATGAATTCAAAATTGCCACCTACTAAAAGACTAGATTCACATACTTTTAGTCTCAAATTGTTCAGAATATACATGTTTCTATTTGCTCTAATGCAACATTTTGTCCAAAAGTGATTGGAATTGGCATTTCTGACTTTTGACCCTAGATACCCAGCATATCCATATCTCCATAATCGTTGGTCATAATGTTGGCCTAAAATTGTTCGGAACATACATATTTGCTTTACAGTCCCTGTTGTCTTGTGATGGGATTGCCACTTCGAAAAGTGATTAAGTTCACTGTTTGGCATATCCTTGGCTCTAGTGCAGTGAACAAACCAGAGAAACAAAGTTGGTGGCACGAATCCAATATTCAATTTATGGCCTATTATAGCAATCGCTCATTTTTCAAAAGAACCAGGGGTATACAGAACTCGTAAGTTTATATATTGCCATTACGTGTTGTTATCAGCAATACAGTATTCAGTGGCGGATCCAGGAATTTAAAATAAAGAGAGCCCAAAGACGGATTTTGACAGGTGGAGGGTATAACCAACTCAGGCTCACCATGGTTGGGGCTGATGTAAAAAAATGTACGATTATATCACTTGTCGATGGCCGGTACTGGCACTCTCAAACTTAGAATTTGTATATATATATATATTTTTTTCCTCTATTGGAAAAATTTCCGCGCCCCCCATGAAACCGCCACTGGTATTTTAGTTGAATTTTATGTTGTCGTCTCTTCTTACAATTGTCATGTTCTGAAGCGTGAACTCCCTTCTGCCTGAAGGCTTCACACATCACTCCTGTATTTAAATATGGCGACAAGTCCTTTGCAACTACAGACCAATTTCTCTTACCCATTTTTACTGGTACATCAAATCACGTTGCTTATTTCTGTGTGTTTTTCTCTTTCCGGTCCTGTGTTACCCAACTTACAAACCTGATACATTCCCGGGTTCTTCTCTTAATACACGTCCAACACTTCTTAGAATTGATGTTGTCTTTTTGAACTACGCAAATCCTTTGATAAACTTCCCTAAATTATAGGCAACTGAAGAGCCAATTTGACACATAGTTAGAAACATTATTTTCCCCCCATTTTAATGTTTATAGCGTTAAAAATTAAAAAAAAAACAAACTTCTAGGACATAAATTGTTTTAATGCCTTTTGTCTGTTTTTTAGTGCTTTTCATAGGCATATATTTAAATTTTTACCATTTTTAGTGTTCTTAAGACCCTTTTGGAGATAGGTTTTACTCTTTTTTTTTAAAAAAAAACTTAAAGGGCCATTCTTACATCATCTTTTGTTGTTATTTATTTGCACATGATAAACGCCAAAATTGGTCTGCTCTCACAATCGTCCGAATAAACTAAACTCCGACACCTAACATACCTCTTTGAGTTAACAAAATCCCTTTGAATATCATTAATTTAATAAAATTGAATTGAATCAAGTTTATGTTATGCACCTTAACTGACTGAGAAGGAAGAGAATACACAAATTTACACAACTTTCATAATACTGCTACAAGGTGCAATATAAGGTTGACTAATTTTTTAAAAATTACTGTCACGTCCAGGATTGATATTTTTTTTTTGATAAGAAGTTTTACTATTTGTTAATTTCTTATAAGAAAAACTGGTGGCGATTAATACGCGATTTGAAAATGTATAACTTACATTCCTGGAAAGCCAGGTCACTAAAATTCGGATCTTCAGACCGAAGACCCTTCGGACAACTGACTTTCGGACCAAAGACCCTTCGGACCAACGGGCTTTCGGATCAAAGACCCTTCCTTCGGACCAAAGGTACGCACCCGTGTCTTTGCGAATTTGAGTACTGTATCAAGATCGTCTCACTAAACACAACTGGCCTAGTTTATCTGCTCGAAGATATTTTCTTCTGTTATCTTTTGTTTTTAAGTCGACTGTAGTAGCATCCGTCAATTCACTCTTGTTAACAATAGTTGGCAGCAAGAAACGCTTTTGTTTAGACTCCGAGAACTATCTCTTCATCATTCTGCCATTCATCTGTTCACAAGACTATGGGAAAAACTACCCTCCCCCTCACAAAAAAAAAATAATAATAAAAAAAAATCCTTTGTCCTTGATTCCTTTCCAACATTCCTGCGCTCTCTTAAATCGCATGTCTTATATTATAGCCCCTCTGCTTAGTTGCATTGCGGCGCGTATCGGACGGGCCTCTCTTTTTTCATCCCGGCATCTCTTTTTTCGTTTTGTTGAACTGTTTCATTTTTACGGTGTTAATGTTTATAAATACGATCTTGTACTGTATGGTGATGATGATGATGATTAGGTCAAATAGCAAAATTCAATGTTTCTCAGACAGTAGCCTATATCTCTGAAGATGTAAAGAACGTCCAGGAAAATAATAATACTCTGTTTCTCCTCCTAATAATACCCAGTTAATATCTGGTGAGGCGTAACACATCATTATGAACTTGTGTATGCACATGATACCTAAGAAGTTCAAATTATAGTTTTAAGATCTTTGTCATGAAATAAGAATTGGAAAATATTTATTGTCAAGAAAAAGAGAAAAGTAAATCTAAATTTATTTTTAGCACACCTCCCAACTTGCATGATCTATTGTAGAACTGAGTGGCGTTTACGTAGCGCCCTCACACAATACCGGTAGACATCAAAGATTTTATAAGGTCTTTGGTAGACATCCTCTGTTGTGAGGGCGCTACGTAAACTCCACCCAGTTTTTTTTTTGAGCGAATCACTTTTGAGTTTAAAATCTGAGTGACACCTAAAATGTTTGTTTGAATTCTTAAAACCACTGACAAAGGTAATGAAACATCAAACACTGGTGGAAACTTTACATCAGGTGATACCAGCACAAACTGTTCTGTTATTCCGAAACAACAAGAGGACAAAGAAAAAAAGAATAGTTTTTGTATTTTAACTGCTCGGTAGTAGAAGATCGGAATTGCCATTAGGTAAGTACAACTAGTTGAAAGTTTTATTTATTCATCACATATTCAAGAAAAAAACCAAAGTTATAAATGTAGGCCTATGGTGTATAGGAGAGGTTGAACATATAAAATGGTCACCCATACTGCTTAAACACTGTAAAATACTGTGCACTATATTTATCCCTGGTTCTAAACAGGCGGTTCAATTCAATTTGGCCCAGAGAAGAAACAAAATAAGACGAATTTAAAACAAATTAATGATATACACTATATAGTAATGGTCGACTTATAGAGCGCATATTATGGAGACCTTTATGTGCTTACAGGTCGGAATCGGGATTCAAATTTAGGGGGCGGGGTCAAAATGTTTCCAAAAAACCTCCCAAATTAAAGGTGGGTGGATTCCATGAATCGATGAACCACAAAAAAGAAGGGGGAAAATGGAGTGGGATGGTTCAGCACCCCCTGGGCAAAAATTGTTTAATCATTCGAGGAATACCGGTACAGTTTTAATCATTCATCAATTAGGTAATTACAACTAGTTTAAAGTTTTATTTATTCATCACATACAAGAAACAACCAAAGTTATAAATGTATGGTGTATAGGAGAGGTTGACCATATAAGATGGTCACCCATACTGCTTAGACACTCTGTGCACTATATTTATCCATGGTTCTAAACAGGCGGTTCAATTCAAGTTGGCCCAGAGAAAAAACAAAATAATAGACGAATTAAAAAAAAAAATTAATGATATAGGCCTACACTATATAATAATGGTCGACTTATAGAGCGCATATTGTGGAGACCTCTATGTGCTTACAGGGTTGGATCGGGATTCAAATTTAGGGGCGGGGACAAACTGTTTCCAAAAAAACCCCAAATGAAAGGTGGGTGGGGTCATCCCCCGAAAACATTTTTATCCCTAGTTGGCTGGAAATCAGCTTTCCCGACTTCTGAGGTGTCTTTTAATGACTTTTATGTTCTTCAAAATTCGAGGTCCCCCCTCCTTTCCCACCTTTTAGAAACGATCAGGTAAACTTTCTCATTTTTATCATATTAAATAGGCCTATTATGTGTGCATACAATAAGCAAATTTTGTAGTTGCATACGTATTCTTTTTTTCCATGAATCGATGAACCACAAAAAGGAAGGGGGAAAATCTTGATTCCTAGATGGTGGGAAATGAGCTTTCCGACTTCAAATATTCCTATTGTAACAAAAAATTCAAAGGACACCGCGTACAAAAAGAAAAACAGTTACCAAACGTTAGAGGTAACATTAATATTAATGTTACTTGTATTTAAAATAAATGCTAATCCTACTGTACTCCATGAATACCGGTACATTATTAATAAAGTAAAGACAAATATGTAACCACTGGGTCATGTACACTAACAACTTTACGGGAAACCGGATATGTTTCGAAAATTATGAGCAAATATTAAATGCCATAAATTTCGTCAAAATTGTTTGAACTTCCTTTTACAATGTTAAAAAAATCTTATACCACAGTACCCATACAAATACAAGCAAGCATTAAAGGCCGTACATTTTGTGTTTGAACTTGCTTTTACATTGTTAATAAAATCTTATGCCACAGTACCCATACAAATACAATCAAGCATTAAAGGCCGTACATTTTGTGTTTGAACTTGCTTTTACATTGTTAATAAAATATTATGCCACAGTACCCATACAAATACAAGCAAGCATTAAAGGCCGTACATTTTGTGTTTGAACTTGCTTTTACATTGTTAATAAAAACTTGTGACACAGGTGCCACCCATAAAAATAAAAAATACAAAGGACATCCGTGTAAAATGAGGCAAACAGTTACCAAACGTTACAGGTAACATTAATGTGATACATGTATAATAATGTTCGACTTATATAGTGCATATTGTGGAGACCTCTATGCGCTTAATATAAACGTGAAAACAAAACTGACCTTAAAAGTATTTTTTTCATTTAACCGTACAAGCATGCTAATCCTACTCCTTAAAACCAATCATTCAACGTTGTAATCATTCGATGAATACCGGTACATTTTTAATAAAGTAAACACAAAGATGTAAACCCTGGGTCATGTGCGCTAGCAACTTTTCGGAGAAACGGCTTGGAGATGTTTCGAAAATTATGAGGAAGCATTAAAGCCCATAAATTGAATATAGTGTCTTAAACCGACTTACGTGCCGCCAACTTTTATCTCTCTTGTTTAAAATCAATTGGGTTAGATTAGGAGCAAGGATCTCTCCGATTTTTGTTATATTATTAACAATAAATCTTTATATTTTTTGACGTTCTCAAAGGGCATCTTTGAAGATCCAGCTTTTGGCTGTAAAATAATAAACATTCTTCTTATGACCAAAAAAAAGCACATTTGATTCGATTTAAGTTAACTGATTAACCATTGAACAATGTCAACAATTACATTGTATATTTATATACCGTACTTAAGCTAAATAACATGAATGGATTACACCTGGCATCATTAGACCTATGTATTACCGTGATCATGAAAACACTTATCCGATAAACATGGCAGCCAAACACATTTTAATAAATATTCAGTCAGAAACCATTAGTGCACGAGTAAAATCCGAACACTCAAATCAGGTTATTTCTATCAGTTGAAAACAAACATAAACACGATCTCAAACGCTTGAGGATGTAATAAATAAACTTATAGGGAAAAACAAATATTCACACCAGATCTTGATTCATTCAGATCTTTGAATGTGAGAATGTTAGCGATGGAACAGACTTTCAACTCAATTAAAGAGGACAAAACAGAATGGAAAATCAAAAATTGTATTCATTAAATCAATGTGCCTATACATTAATAGGTAAATGGGTTGAAACCCATAAAAAGTTCTTAATCCTGACCACCTGGCCAAGTAAACCTATACTGGTACTACTTCACTCTTATCATTCGGCATCTGATGGCCGCGTGTAGAGTGAAAGTACGGTAGTACAAACACTATTACAATAACTATAGCCCAAGCTCCGTTTATCCATAAATATTTAGCATTATATTGGCAGATGTGTATAAGAGACAGGTGTATAGGAGAGGTTGACCATATAAGATGGTCACCCAGATACAACATTATATTTTGTGATGATTACGGTAACCCTATAGATAACAATTAATTGCAATAACTATGATAAAAATGTTTTACCCTTTTACATTTTGAAGCATGCCTCCTTTTGAGCGTCTAACTCAACGCATTATTCAGCCTCAACGCCCATACTACAAGAATGGACAGATTGTCGTAGGAGTTCTGTTGATAATAGCTGCTTCACTTACGCTTGTCTTCGGCATTGTTTCAGTTTCCTTGCCAACAGTCTACTACGGCTTTTATGGAACTCCACTGTGGACTGGAGCAGTAAGTATTTCGGCATACTAGCTTTAAAATATTTTGTCATGTATAGCATTTTCAAGTAATGGAATGATATACACTTCCGTAGTTTACACTTGTGCACTTAATCATTGCGTCTACAGCAGCCAATGATATAAGAAATTAAATTATATTGATGATGATATTTGCTATTATTATTTTACGATAAAGCGGGAGATTCAAGTTTAATGTGCAATTCACCAATATATTGAACATTGTAACAGCGAGATGCTGCTTGTTCTAATTCAAATCAATTCCGTGTATTCATGAAAATAAGGCCCCGGCCTATTTGACAACCAGTGGCTTATCTAGAAGTCTTGAAATAGGGGTGCTGATGTGGTGCGCCAAGGCTGTCTCTTATACACATCTGAGGGCGGGGGGGGGGGGGGGTGCTCGATGATCGGTTAAGGGGCGCTAATTCGCAAAATATGGTGATTTTTTAACCACTTGACCGTGATTTTTTGGGGGCGACTGGAGCGGTGGAGGGAGTAATTTTTGGAGGGGCGTGCGCCCCCGCATCCCCTAGATACGCCACTGTTGACAACACACTTTCATAATTATGGACATGGATTGTGTACCACACAATCTGTTCAAAAGCTTACTAAGATAACCGCATGATAATTTGGTCTTTTTTATTCAATACAAAATAGTAAATTAACACCAGATTCAGAATTATAAAACTTACTAAATGATAAATATTTCTTTCTCAAATCATTATATAGAGTGCATCTTAAAACTGAAAAGTCCACTGATTAATCTCAGATAAGATAGTATAATACATACTCCAAGTATCGAAATACACCCCATCGTGTCTGATATTTCGACATTAATTCTGTCATCATCAGGAACACAAAGTGAAATTCGTCTTCGACTTGCTTTTGACATATTAAACAAATATTTTTTTCTTCCTATATAATGTCTGTCATTTAAATAAGTAAATTTTGCAAAGATGTACCAAAACAGGCTAGTGTGGTCCTGTGAACAAGTAGGTCAAAAATATAGTTTTGTACGAGAACATTTATTACCGATCAGCTGTAAACGGTAATATTCCTAAATAACCCTAACTTACTGCTACATTGACATGATTTAGGTATAGTTAGGACGTATTTCAAAGATTTTAAATGAGTATTTTCCATTTCTTTATACCCTCAGTGTATTTCCCGGATTTCCGAACCATATAATTTTATTGGCATAATTTTTTTTCCGAACAATTTTCTTGATTTAAATAGAACTTATGCCAATGTAGAAAAATTGATTCCTTAAACTAAACATAGATTTGTTTGTCTTTTCTGAAGTGACTCTACTCATAGAATTCCATATAGATCTTATTGTAAATCCTAAATATTTATACTCTTTTACCTCTTCGTTTTATTCATGCTCATGTGGACACTTAATTTACTTCCTTACAAACATATTTTGCATGGATAATATTTTCATAAAAAATTAGGTTCTAACAAATGGTCCATGAACTAAATATAAAGCAAACAGTATACAAATAACAAGAAGAAATTTTTTTTGATTTTTTTTTACAATATTTAAATACAATTTAAACAAATTTTAAATACATTATAATTGAATTTAAAAATACATAGAAAAATATAAATATTTTATAAAACGTATGGTTACATTTTAAATTTTAATATGAAGTTAATACAGTATATATTTTAATTAATAAAAGGACAAATATACAATTAGATTTTATTATAATAATTATAATTTTTTTTACCTTAAGTAAGATTATATTTTCGAATTCTTAAATGAAGGTTAGTGAAGATTAACACTGTAAATATTTTAATTAATAAAAGAACAAAAATAAATAATAATTAGATTTGATTATACATATAATATCATTATTTTACCTTCAGTACGATTTTATTTTGTATTTAAATATGACGAATACAGAATACATTATAATTTATGAAAGAACTATACATATAAATAACGATATTTTAATGAAATTTTGCCTTGTATTTAAGTTTGATAATGTGTTGTAAGAGCTAGGCAGCAATGTTGAAAATGATCTGGGAGGTTGTTCCAAACCAGCCACTTGAAGTGACATCTTATTTATATTGATTTTTGGTAAAACAACATTTAGGGGTTTAGCCAATCTAATGGTATAATTATGTCTACCAATAATTAATTCAACTTGGTTTACTAGATGCTGCGGAGCTAGACCATGAATACATTTATACAACATACATGATAAAGAATAATCACGCCTTTGTTCAAAAGTTTGAAATCCGAGATCAATAAGGAGATTCACACCTCTGTGCTTTATAAAATCAAAATTTTTCCATGATAAATGGTCATCAATTTGTAGACCTAGATATTTCACATTATTTACCTGTTAATAACTTCTTTCTATCGATATAGGTATCCAAAGTTTCATTTATCATACGATTTCCTATGTTTCTTATAAGCATGATTATAGTCTTTTCTGCGTTAATTGATAATTGGTTCTGTTTATACCATTTATTTATAGAATTTATATTTTTTTGTAAAGCATAGTTAACATCATTACAGTAATTGTTTTACCTGTAGCATATATAAACGTGTCATCAGCAACAACTTTGCAAGTGGCATTATCTACGAACTGAGAAATACCGTTTATCAAAATAAGAAAAAGTATTGGTCTAAGGACCGAACCTTGGGGGAATTCAAATTTGTATTAATTCAAATTGAGACTTTTTGCCATTACAATAAACAAATTGTTTTCTATTGAACAAGTAATTTCTGAACCATTTACTGTAATTGGGTTTACATCAAAACCGTATTTTTCAAGATTATATAGTAATATTGTATGGTTTATAGTGCCAAAGCATTTGGTGATATCCAAAACACTTGAGCCAGCAATCATATCAGAATCGTTTAAAGACTCTAACCATTTATCAACTACCACGTGGAGTGATGTAATTGTAGAATGATCCTTTAAGAGCAGTTGTCTGTAAAAATCTCAAAAAAATTTCAAAAAATAGTGGCAGACTAAAAAAAAATGGATTTCTTTCAAATTTTGCACATGGCTATACCTTTGTTAAGAGAAATGAAATATGAATTTCTATTCACTTTGTGTGTATATTTCCATGGCAACGTGTAAATTTGTATTTTTGGCAATTTTTGTCATTTTTGGCTGTTTTTAAAAATGTTAATATTTGTAATAATTTGATACAATATTTCTGATATCCTTATGGTTTATTCATAAAAAATAATGAGTGTGTGTATAAGGTCAATACATTGGGTATCTGTTTATTTTTAAATGTTTTTTTGGATTTCCTAGTTGGGAGATACCATGTTTTTAAAAAGGGGTGTTTTTTTTTTCAAATTATGAAAAAATCCAAATCTTAATTAACACGCTATATCGTCATTGCGGACTTATAAAATCCGCATACGCTATAAAACTAAAAGAAAATACATACTTTTGGAGTCCGTACTGAGCCCAAAAAATCCGCAATGAAAATATAACGTGTTTATTGCTCATAAGCCTCAAAGTGGTGCTATTTTAGAACTGATTTTCTACAAGTAGGTAGTTCTAATGCTCCCTTAGAGAATTCCAGTTTAAAAAATGTGGGTAATTAAAAAACGTACGAGCAGTGTTGCCAGGAAAACTGGACAGATTTCGCCACACCTAATGGAAAAAACTGGCATTTTTCTTTAAAAAAAAATTATAATAGTAAAATTTACCAGTTTTTTCCGCTGATTTATTCATAGATTCCTTTGATTACAATAATAATAAATGTTTTTCTATACTTTAAGTAATGTTGTGATAAAAAAAACAATGTTTGTGGTATCAATGTTGTCATTTTTCTGTTTAGTGGTATTTTAAACCTTTTTAAGGTGAGTTTATAATAATTTCACTTTATACATACCAATTTTTGTCAGTGGTGTCACCAGTTGGACACAGCACCTTAACCTGCCTGGGAATGCCAGTCCCTGAATAACACCCTCTCCTCCCTAACCACCTCATGCAACACCCAGGAATTATCGTGAAAAAATATAAACCTAATATGTGGTCGTGGTAGGGGTGGTGCCAGGATTCCCCGACAAGAAGCCCTATGTCACAGATGGTGGTCCGAGTACAGCATTCAGAGAATCTCGAACAGATTTTTTTGGAAAATGAATATCTTGGGTGTTCCAAACACAAGCCCAGAACAGCGATAATGAAAGATGTGGTTTCATGGCTGAAGAGTGTACTTCCTAAGGTTACATCTGTATATTTAAGACACAACAATGCTGGCTGCTATCACTGTACAACTACACTACTTGCAAGAAAAGAAATTGCTGAAAAGACGAGGGTAAATGTGCAAACGAAATTCATGTCATTGAAGATGGTTTTAAAATTAAACATGCTTTAGAATCAGATAGACAGTAAAAGGTTGTTCCTATCTTCTCAAATGTTGCAACATATGAAGAACTGCAAGTGGGATGGTATAAGCCTTCTTAATAATTTTGAATTTACAACTATAGGCAGGTGCAGATCCAGAGATGTCCAAAAAGGGGAGGGGGTGCCGAATGTTGGGCTGATTGAGACAACACTGCCATAGGGAGTCCGGGGGTATGCCCCCGCGAAATCTTTGTATTCTAGACGCCCAAAAATACCATTTTAGGTGTCTGGGCTATAATTTTTTCTTTTTTTTAAAATTTCTTTTACCTCCCAAAAGGGGAAAGGGGGCCCCTAAATCTGATGGTTTTAAAATGAAACATGCTTTAGAATCAGATAGACAGTAAAAGGTTCTTCTTACCTTCTCAAACATATTAAGAACTGCATGTGGGATGGTATAAGCCTTTTTAATAATTTTGAATTTACAACTACAGGCAGGAGCGGATCCAGAGATGTCCAAAAATGGGGCGGCCCGACAGTTGGGCTGATCGAGACAACACTGTCCTAGGGGGTCCGGGGGCATGCCCCCGCGAAAATTGTTTGTGTTGTAGATGCCCAAATATACCATTTGAGGTGTCTGGGCTATAATTTTTTTCTTTTTCTTTTCTTTTTTCCCTTTCGTTTACCTCCCAAAAGGAATGGGCGGGGGTCAGGCCTGCCCTTCCCCCTATATCCGCCCCTGACCGGAGTTTGAGTATGGAGGGCATATGAGATTTGACCTGGTTTAGAAAGTGGAAAACAAGTTTCAAAGATACCATAGTGTCTTTTGGTGTGCATGAACCACCAAAATACAATGGAATTTTTAAAGAAATTATAACTACAGGCAGGAGCGGATCCAGAGATGTCCAAAAATGGGGCGGCCCGACAGTTGGGCTGATCGAGACAACACTGTCCTAGGGGTCCGGGGGCATGCCCCCGCGAAAATTGTTTGTGTTGTAGATGCCCAAATATACCATTTGAGGTGTCTGGGCTATAATTTTTTTCTTTTTCTTTATTTTTTCTTTTTTCCCTTTCGTTTACCTCCCAAAAGGAGTGGGCGGGGGTCAGGCCTGCCCCTCCCCCTAAATCCGCCCCTGACCGGAGTTTGAGTATGGAGGGCATATGAGATTTTACCTGGTTTAGAAAGTGGAAAACAAGTTTCAAAGATACCATAGTGTCTTTTGGTGTGCATGAACCACCAAAATACAATGGAATTTTTAAAGAAATGATCACTGCGAAGGTATCTGATCAACCTGTTCGCCAACATCTACCAGTCTGTGCACAAGGCCAACTTAGAAATGAAGGATACGTTTAATAATCATTTGTTTTTCTGTCCCTAAGATGGATTTATAAAGTCTTACATAAGCTTCTGTACACTAGAATATCAGATAGTTACAGGAACACTTGAATACAGACCTCAGAATCAAACACCGTTGGACAAAGCAGAATTAGGTTATGCTAAAAGGCTTTCAGCTGACACTTGCATATTCCCATGGTAGCATTTTTATTTTCTCATGTCTAATCTTTCAATTAAATTTTCATTTGCGCCAAAAGCCATCAGTCGACTATTATCTGCCATACAAGAAACATTACATTTATGTTCATCAATATATATTTACAATGGCCAAAAAAAATAATTAAAAAAATTAAACAATAGATAAATGTAGCAGAGTAGTACAAATGGAGGAATTGTTGGCAGAAGACGGATAGACATTTAGAGAATATGGAAGAAGATTTGAAACGTTCAGTTCTACAAGGAGGCGGTAAGAAGGTTGATTGTTGTATTTCTAAGCGAGATGGATATTTAAGAATATGATCATAAGACTGAACAAATTGGAAAAAAGTGCATGGAGTGAAATATTTAAATCTTGTGTTGTACCATGTTGAGCAAATAAGTATGGATATGAAGAATATGAAGAATAATTTGATAGAATTTTACTGAAAAGATATTCAACACTTATTAAATACGCACCTTCACATTCAAAGAAAACAAGAAAAGACAAGATTTTCAGAAACAACAAAAAGAATATATTCAAAAGAAATTCCAAGTAGTCAGTGTCAGCGGGTTGAGAAAAACGATGTGAATAGCTAGGAACGACAGTGAGTTATCTAAACCATCAGAATATCTGAGCAAAAGATGTAAAGCTATTAGAGAAGTGTCAAGACACAGTAGTACACTGGAGGTTAAAAAACTGTTGACGAGTCAGATGAAGATATTCTTTAAGCTGCTGAAGAGGACTCGCAACAGACAACCTCCAAATGCTTGTCCACGAAACAGTTGATTTTTAACATCCAATTATATATGGCAAAATTAACTTTTCTTGGTGAATTCAACAATTAAATTGAGTCTTCATAACTCGTCGTTGAAAGCGAATTTATCATGGTTGTCAAAGTGGTGTTTGAATTGTTTTTCTTTTCAGAAAGTTAAACTAAGTTGTGTGCTTTACATGCAATGCAGTAAGTTTAACATACTTGAAATAAACCTGGCAACACATGTTGTTATAATAGTCATGTACATAGTAATATTATGGTTACATAAATTAGGGCCTATTTTTTGTATCGTAGCATTTTCCGTACAGTTAAAAAATGTATATTTACAATATATTTTAATGAAAAAATGCAAAATTAAGTTTTAAATTACTTGAAATGAGCCTGGCATCACATTTCTTAACATGTTGTTAGACTATTTATGTAACTATAGTAACATTATTTTGAAATAAATTTACGTTGATTTAAAGTGTTATCCATTCAGTAAAAAATGATATATTTTTATTCAAAAAATGACGTTTTTCTGGCAATACTGCATCCACGTGTGTAGATTACCCACAAATTTTTTTCTTGATTATTGTTTGGACAACTATTGACTATCAAAATATGGAAGATGGTGGATATGTATGCACCACTTTGAAAGTTACAGATAGGTTTCTGAGGCATACTTTAAAAAGAATATATATTTTGAGAAAAACCCCCTTTTGTAAATAATGGTATCTTCCAAAAAGATTTAAAAGGTTATTTACATGGATGATCACAAAAATATATATAGTGCATGTTCTTTTTTTTAAAATAAGGTCTGAAAGTCAGTATTTTTTCACTTCTGAAAATGTTCAAAATTGACAAAAACGGTAAAATTTAGATAACGGGTCGTTGCCATGACAACGAAAGCTAAAAAATTAAGCAAATGTCATAGATATGCTTTTTATTTAAGTATCTATTCATTGTAAAAATTTGAGAGAAATCCATTTTTTGACGTCTGCCACCAAATCTTTGATATTTATGGACAACCATTCTTAATAAGGAAAATTAATTATTAAATAAATAAGGCAATATTAATTATTAAATTATGATTAGTTAGGTATTCAACAACCTGTACTTGTATCTTTCTTTCCATTATTTTTGCAATGTGTATGACTGAGATTGGTCTGTAGATACACATGTCATCTTTAGAACCTATATTCTTATATGTAGGAATAGATCTTGCTATTTTCCAATCTTCAGTTATAATCCCCATTTAGACTTAAATTTAGTATTTAACATAGAGAGTGCGAAATAAACGGAGCAGTAATCTTCAATAGTTTACTATCAAAATCAATAACATTTGGTAGTTTCAAAAGTTTATCTAATATATTTTCGATTTTCATATCATATAATTCAAATTTGTGAATACAGTCAGAGTTTTTCTAATATGGTAAGTTATTATTACTGAACGATTTAGCCATATTTATGTCAATATTTGTAAAGTGGTTATTAAAATTATCAATGTCAATGTTAGTATTTTTACTTTTATTATCTTTGCCAGTTACTCGATTATCTCTTTCCGTAATGTTTTTGGATTATTGAATATAAATGAATATACATGAACTTTGTGTGACTTTTTCGTTTAATAGCTTGCAGTAATAAACTGAGCGTATTAACCAATTTATCCAGCTCTGGCAAAATCCACAGTTTGTCGCAATTTCGCACAAGCACCCAAAACATTTGAGAATAAGAACTTAGAGCATTTTCAGGTTTTTGCATTTTATAAACCCTATGTCGACGATGGGTGGATGATAAAATTATAATTATTTTTTTTGGATAAAATTAATTTCCATAACAAAAGACTAACACAATTTTGGGTTATAATGCATTCTTCCGAATCACTTAGCGATAATTCCCATCACAGTTCTTTTTGTCTTGCCATCTATTGGCGTACGGTACTGATGCATTATGTGCATATAGGCCTATATGTTTAAACAATATGCATGAAATAGACTCAATATTGAATACAAAAATGATTATATATTGCAGATGATCATGATTGGCGGAATATTAAGTGTACTTTCAAGCAAGTATGACAACAAATGCGCTGTAAGTAATACTAGAGTATTTTGCCTTTCTTAATGTATAAATATATGGTATTAGTAGGCCTGCACAGATACCTTAAAATACGAGCATTGAATGTTGATCTCTAATGTAGCAAGCAGCCGTGGTGGCTGCTGATATTTGCCGACTGGGAATGTTGGGTGTGGGGGCTGGGGGGGGGGGGGGGGGGGGAGGTTCCGACCCGGCAAGAGGTCTGAATCAAGTTAAGGTACCTGAATAAAAATGCATGGTAGGCCCCAAATGGTGTTTTAGACTATAATATAAATATAAGGATTGACAATCAAAATGTCGTTATTTGTATAGGAAA